TTATAATCATATTTTATTTCTTCAAAACTAGAAAAAATATTAAAAATCAGGAAATTAATGAAAATAAAATTTTGAAGCGTCAATATTTTCAGAAAAATAAACCCTGAAAATGCCTATCTTTAATATTTTTAGAAATAATTAAATAAAAAAATATATTTTTTACATTTTTTACAAAAACATTAAAATAAATTAAAAACCCTGTTAATCTTATTATAAAACCAGAATCTATATCTCCATTATTTTGTGAGATATCGCAATTGGTAAATCTCCACGGGACACTGTATATATATACAACTAACGTTAAAACTACAATTTAATCTCTAAAAATTTGATTGCCAGCCAGTTGATTTAATAGACAGCTGAATGTGGTAATTAAGTTATGTATTTCATATTAATATAGGGTTCTATATACATTTAGTACCTACACTATAAAACCTAAAAAAATTGATTGAAAATCCCTAACATAACAATTTAAATTAATAATATTTCATTAAATGTGTATAAAAAATGTAAGGTAACGTAAATTGATAAAAAAGACTATCGAACACAATAGAAAAAGGTAAAATGACGCTACCTAAAAAATAAAATTTTAAATAAATATTGAATTAGAAAAGACAATTTTTTAATGCTTCTAAAAATTTTTTTAAGCTCAATACCCACTAACTGGTACAGATCAAAATGAGATATTATTATCATTGGTAGTAGCTATTGGGTAAATGATTATCTATACCTATAATAACGATGATTGACACTGACGTTCAATGCATGCATGCAACTGATCACCCAKATATAGTATTAGCCTGKTGGGTCTAAGTGTTTCTTATAATTTAATATTTGATGGCCCATATCATTCCTAACTATRAACCATATCGTATAGTTATGGRGAATCACACTAATTATTAAGTGGTAAGGGAGGGTTATTTAGGTGCCCGAAAATCGAGCCAGAACGCACTTTTTTCAAAATGTAAAGTAATTGAGTTAAGTAAAAAAGTAATTGGGACACTAAAATTCTTCATTTTTAATAGGTAGACCCAAGMTTGATAAACTATTTTATTATTGAATCCAGTAAGTAGAAATTTAAATTTAAAAAATAAAAATCGTAGAAACATTAAAAGCCAGGATTTTTAATAAATTATTTAAACACAATGGTATTTTTAAATAATTGAAAATAAATAGTATTATTTGAATGATTGAGTATACTTAATTTATATTTTATTCATGAAAAATTTAAAAACTACATAGGTACCTACTGTAATTAATAAAATATATTATATATCTCCTAGCTGGTACCCTTTAAAAATATATATTTAATTTGTAAATAGGTTTAGAATGGCGGAGGGAATTTAGGGGAGGAGCTCTAGAGTTTTGTTCAGCCCCCCCTCTGTATAATTTTTTAGTTAGAATATATGTTGCATAGATACCAAAAGCATTATAGACTAGAGCCCTCCTCCTATAAAAATACATTACGCAACGTTTATGCATAATTTGTTACGCAATATCCGGACAATAAAATGTAAACAAATATTGTATACGATGCAGGTAAATAAAATGTGGTCCATGGACCAATTACCTATCACTTGATCGGGTGTTTAATCTCAAAAGTTCGACTACTAGTTACTACGACCTTATGAAAAGTTCGAAAATAATTATATATTATATATACAAATAATTTACTAATGCGCATAGATGGGCTAAAAAAAATATAAACCTATTTTTCTCCACCACACGTRAATCTGATTATATTATGTGGCTGGTGTTGGAGAGGGGGTTCGGTGAAGGCTAATTCAAGCTACCTACTATAAATTCAGACGACGGATTCGTTTGATTTTTATCGAAATTAAATATGTCAATGGAAATTTACTGAAACAAAATAAATGAATGATATAACAATATAACATAGATCTTTGTTTGCTAATTAATTATTAATTGTTACTATGTCAGTTCTTTCTGTAGTTACACCCTGTATAAATAATATTGCATTCATTATAATATGTACATAGTTATCTTTCGTAGAGAACGTCGGGACTGACAGGCACATACATTGTATATAGTATATACGAATACACGCATGGTTTCTATTATATACATATAGTAAACGCATGAATTGTTATTTCAATACAACACAATTTAACGAGCTGCGTATAACAATACATATATAATGCTCTATTATAATATTGCATGATATAAACATGCCTCTATAATATTTATTATATATAGTAGTAATATTACATAATAGTATAATACCTATGCATACATCCAACCTGTGTGACCGAGTGTATACATTACCTATACTTCGTATCTTTTATTCGCACATACATTTGCAGTTATCTCAATAATATACCTATATGTGTACAAAAAAGTCGACTTTCTACGTTTTGAGAGTAGCAATGGGATTATAATATATGATTATTTCGTTTCGACGAAGATGTGCGCGTAGACATGCGCGTGGATGTGTGTGTGTACTATGTTGTGTGTAAGGCTACAGTATAGGTGTGCATATGACATTATATAATATAAAGTAATATTCCGGGGCGTGCGAGTATATTATATACGGCTTTTRGGTACGGGGGTTGGGATAGCTGTGACGTTGACGGTGGTGCGTGCAGCGCGCGGTGCAAAATAAACAAGACGGCCGCGCTGAACAAACAACCGCAGCGCATAAAGCCGTCAAGCCGCAACGTTTGCAACCGTTCCGAATAATAGGCACCCCCGGTTCACCCTATCTTGTCTCTCTATACCCTAGCTACCATCACCGACCTACCCTTCCACACCGAGTGCGGTTCAGAGTAAGCCGCGGACCCTCGATGTTTTTTTAACCGACCGTATTAATTTGATTGGTCCTATTAAATAATTCAATACGCCACTGCCACCACGACCGCCGAACACGCATCGATATTAAAAGGTATTATATTTGATATATAATATTATGAAAACATATATTTTTATACTCTGCTCGTGTATCAGCTGCACTCATCGTCGTGTTTGCGATTTATACAGAACGATACTCTGAACAGACTGCATTGTACGCAGCTCTGCGCAGTTCAATCATATCATACTGCTAACAGTCATCTGAACTGCGAAGTGCAAAGCTGCCTGGCGAAGAATACATACTATGAAACATCTTTGCTAATTTTGTAGCATGACCTTAACCTAACCAACCAATAGAAGGACTTGGAAGTTACGATTGTGATCAAATGTGATCACGTATGCATACCTAATAAGAATTAGGAACATATTTCTATTATAAACATGACATATCTAGATTTTAAATTAATTTTGTAATATACATAAGGCAGTAAGTTTTTAAAAAATAACTTTCTATCGACAAATTTGTAACGTTATTGTTGTTTAATTTTCTACTAAATATAGATTTAAGTATTAAAAAATAATTTAGGCTATAGATTAAAAACAACCTCTCAAGTTTGAATTAAGAAAATAATGTATACCT